GTCGTGGTTGTTATAATCATGGACGTGGTTGCTAAAATCATATTCGTGGTTGTTATAATAATGGTCGTGGTTGTTATAATCATGGTCGTGGTTGTTATAATCATGAACGTTGTTGATATTATCATGGCCGTGGTTGTTATAATCATGGTCGTGGTTGTTATAATTATGGTCCTGAGTGTTATAATCATGGTCGTGGTGGTTATAATCATATTCGTGGTTGTTATATTCATGGGCGTGCTTGTTATATTCATGGTCGTGCTTGTTATAATCAGAGTCATGGTTGTTATAATCATGGTCTTGAGTGTAATAGTCATAGTCTTAGTTGTTATAATCATATTCGGGGTTGTTATAATCATGGTCGTGAGTGTTATAATCATGGTCGTGTTTGTTAAAATCATATTCGGGGTTGTTATAAATATAGTCGTGGTTGTTATATTCATAGGTGTGGTTGTTAAAATCATGGTCGTGAGTGTTATAACCATGGTCGTGGTTGTTATAATCATGGTCGTTGTTGTTATAATCATAGTCGTGGTTGTTATAATCATGGTCGTGGTTGTTATAATCATGGTCGTGGTTGTTTTAATCATAGTCGTGGTTGTTATAATCATGGTCGTGGTTGTTTTAATAATTGTCGTGGATGTTATAATCATGGTCGTGGTTGCTATATTCATGGTTAATGGTTGTTATAATCATAGTAGTGGGTGTTATAATCATGGACGTTGTTATTTATAATCATATTCGATGGTTGTTATAATCATAGTAGTGGGTGTTATAATCATGGACGTTGTTGTTATAATCATATTCGATGGTTGTTATACTTATGGTCGTGGGTGTTATAATCATAGTCGTGGTTGTTATAATCATGGTCGTGGTTGCTATAATCATGGTCGTGGTTGTTATAATCATGGTCGTGGTAGTTATAATCATGGTCGTTGTTGTTATAATCATGGTCGTGAGTGTGATATTCATGGTCGTGGTTGTTATAATCATATTCGTGGTTGTTATAATCATGGTCGTGGTTGTTATAATCATAGTCGTGGTTGTTATAATCATGGTTGTGGTTGTTATAATCATGGTCGTGGTTGTTATATTCATGGTTGTGGTTGCTATAATCATAGTGTTGGTTGTTATAATCATGGTCGTGGTTGTTAAAATCATGGTCATGAGTGTTATAATCTTGGTCGTGGTTGTTGTAATCATATTCGTGGTTGTTATAATCATGGTCTTGGTTGTTATAATCATGGTCGTGGTTGTTATATTCATGGTTGTGGTTGTTATAATCATAGTCGTGGTTGTAATAATCATGGACGTGGTTGTAATAATCATGGACGTGGTTGTTATAATCATGGTCGTGAGTGTTATAATCAGGGTCGTGGTTGTTATAATCATTTTCGTGGTTGTTATAATTATAGTCATGGTTGTTATATTCATAGGTGTGGTTGTTATAATCATGGTTGTGGTTGTTATAATCATAGTCGTGGTTGTTATAATCATAGTCGTGAGTGTTATTTTCATGGTCGTGGTTGTTATAATCATGGTCGTGGTTGTTATAATTATGATCGTGAGTGTTATAATCATGGTCGTGGTGGGTATAATCATATTCGTGCTAGTTATATTCATGGTCGTGGTTGTTATAATCATGGACGTGGTTGTTATAATCATAGTCGTGGTTGATATAATAATGGTCTTGGTTGTTATAATCATATTCTTGGTTGTGATAATCATGGTGGTGCTTGTTATAATCATGGTCGTGGTTGTTATAATCATCGTCGTGGTTATGATCATAGTCGTGGTTGTTATAATCATAGTCATTGTTGTTTTAATCATGATCGTGGTTGTTATAATCATGGTCGTGGTTACTATAATCATAGTCGTGGTTGTTATAATCATGGTCGTGGTTGTTATAATCATGGTCGTGGTTGTTATAATCACAGTCCTGGTTGTTATAATCATGGTCGTGGTTAATATAATCATAGTCGTGGTTGAAATAATATTGGTCGTGGTTGTTATAATCATGGTCGTGGTTGTTATAATCATGGTCGTGGTTGTTATAATCATGGTCGTCGTTGTTATATTCATGGTTTTGGTTGTTATAATCATAGTCGTGGTTGTTATAATCATGATTGTGGTTGTTATAATAATGGTCGTGGTTGTTATAATCATGATCGTGGTTGTTATATTGATGGTCGTGTTTGTTATAATCATAGTCGTTGTTGTTATAATCGTGGTCGTGTTTGTTATAATCATGGTCGTGGTTGTTATTGTCATAGTCGTGGTTGTTGTAATCATGGTCGTGAGTGTTATAATCATGGTCGTTTTTGTTATAATTATGGTCGTGTTTGTTATAATCATGGTCGTGTGTGTTATAACCATGGTCGTGGTGGTTATAATCATATTCGTGGTTGTTATATTCATGGTCGTGCTTGTTATATTCATGATCGTGCTTGTTATAATCATAGTCGTGGTTGTTATAATCATGGACGTTGTTGTTATAATCATAGTCGTGGTTTTAATAATAAAGGTCGTGGTTGTTATAATCATATTCGTGGTTGTTATAATCATGGTCGTGGTTGTTATATCATCGTTGTGGTGATGATCATAGTCGTGGTTGTTATAATCATATTCGTGGTTGTTATAATCATGGTCATGAGTGTTATAATCTTGGTCGTGGTTGTTGTAATCATATTCGTGGTTGTTATAATCATGGTCTTGGTTGTTATAATCATGGTCGTGGTTGTTATAATCATGGTCGTGGTTGTTATAATCATGGTCGTGAGTGTAATAGTCATGATCGTGGTTGTTATAATCATATTCGTGGTTGTTATAATCATGGTCGTATTTGTTATAATCATAGTCGTGGTTATTATAATCATGGTCGTTGTATGATATATATGGACACAAAGTAGTACCTTCAGCTGTGTATTATTATATTACTCATATATTACTCCATTAATTATGTATAGTAAAGTATTACAGAACATTTATTAATTCTATGTAATATTCCATTTATTGTGCACCATATTAAGTATATAAATTATCATATTTATACTTTATGTAGTCAGCTTGTGAATGCTGGCATCTGTACATCCCAGCGCGCATTAATACATAGAGAGATTGAAGACAGAGTCCTCGTGGTGTGGAAACGCGAGCTTCTGCGTCCTTCTGTATATA